AATTGCAACGCTACACTACACAACATAATAGAAAAGAGTATAGAATGGCAGTCAACTGGATCTCTATCTCAACTTCATCGACTTTGAAAGGCCGAAGATAGCGTCGAAGGAAAAGTAATTCGGCAACTGCTTCAACACTACGGTTTTAGTGCCACAAACCTTTATCAACCTCATTCAACAGCTAAGCTATATGACGACGATGCCACATGCCAACTGATTGAAAACATAAAGCTCAGTGACGCCTTTGAAGTGAAGACAGGAGTAATACAAGGCTGCCGCCTACTATCAACGAAGATCTTTGTGATTGTGGTGGGCTGGATCATGCAGCAAGGGGGTCATACGCTGTTTGACCGATGAAAAGAGCCTAGAAGATTTGGATTTAGCCAGCGATGATAATTTATGTCTAATATCTTATATCGCAAAAACTCGAAGATCTACAGGCGAAAAGTAACAAGTTGACAGACGAGGGAGGGCAGCGAAAACGAGACTTCAAGTGAATGTAGAGAAGACAGAGGTGACGAAGATACCCAACCAACAGCAACCTCAACATCAACAAGAAGAGGCACCAGTCATCATGAACTGGAGAAACGCATAGGAAGTAGTCTGTTTCACCCACCTACCAAAGAAGCATCCTTTCAACCACTGGGGGTCACAGACGAGGGTGTCAAGACGGATTTCCATTAATCCGAAATCAGTGTGGAGATCTACTGCACTGCACTTGGCACAAAGAACAAGATCCGGATTTTCAACACTAACTCATTCAAGTCAGTGCCTCTATGTGATGGTTCAGAGACTTGGTGCCTTACGAAAAGCACTTCCAACAAACTGCAGACATTCACCAACAGCTGCCGCCTACACTGGCTCGACACTGAAGATCAGTTGGTCAGAATGAATAAACAACAAGGAAGTCTGTCCTGACAACGAACCAACCAAGAACTTATCGTCCAACAGATGTGCAGAAGAAAGTGGAGATAGATTGGATGGGATTGGGCATTCACTGAGAAGGCTGATTGAAGACATAACGCACCAGACCAGGTCGTCGAGTGGAATCCAAAGGGGAAACGACGAGTTGGTCGTCCGAGGTGAGGGTGACATGGAGGAGATAATGTGAGGAAGGAGTGAGAGTTTGTGGGCAGTCATGGAGGCAGGTTGAAAATACTGCAGAGTGGAGAGTGGAATGGTGACGTGCTACTGAACGCCGATGTTCTACTAGGAACCCAAGGGATAAACAATAATAGTTTGTCGGTACACTTATAATGTTTCGTTGTTAGACTGGATCAAATTTTTTGACCTCTGTTGGTATGTGATCTCCCATGCACATCCCTCGTTACTACCTGAATATTTATTTTGGAAGAATACGATTATATCAACAAATAACTAACACTAACATCCGTTGTACTAGAGGTGGCTATCATGCTTCAGTGTCCCAATGGGGACAGTATAGTTCACTGGCGCTAAATGTACTTAGCTGACGAGTCCCGAACATTACTAAACGCGCGTCCTGGATCCCTCTGCTAGCTACTATCTATCCTTAATAGAAAAGTCAGTAGTCAACCAGGTAGCTTGATAACAGTGATCTTTTGAATAATCGTATTTTCATTGTTATTCATATCATTATTACCAGTCACTCCTTTAGTCATTATGATATTCAATTTACATAACATTTATGGTCCCTTAGTTGTTTACTGTTATCGAGCTATTTAGTTGACTGCTAAGTGTTCTGCTCAATATAATGTAATCCATTCCGTTTTTTGTCTTTCATTATCAACACAGCTTCTTCAGCAGAATATCCGGATATTTTTATTAGTATCTAAACATACAGTCAAATAGTAAATCAAATATTTAGTGTATGTAGGTCAATTGTTATTTGGTTTGTTGTTCAAACTGAGTAATTATGATCAGTCATAACAATTTCGTATTTCTTACTTTCATTTGTCAGAGAAAAAAGTAGGGCAGTGAGGTTTGTGTTTCCTGGACTCGTATGAGAATACTAATATATTGATAAACAGCTAGCAGTTGTCACTATTATTAAAGCTTCAATTGGGAAACGTCATCATAAATGGTTTTGTTAGAGTTTTATTTGCCAAACAAGTGACAGGTCCACTCTATCTCTCCAGTTAATGGCATTTGATGTTGTTAACAAATGTAGGGCTTCAGCAGTTAGTCTTTATATGAATGAAAACCCTTTCCCAATATATTTACATTACAAAGGTTAATCATATGTCCACTTTCGACTGCATGCATAGCTATTAATAATCGCTTTTCAATACTTTTAAGTTCATCTTGATCCTTCAATGAACTTTTCGCAAATAACTTGTGCTCATTCACACTAATTTTTAAGGGTCTGAAATATACTTAGCTTCACATCTCAAACATTTACCTTTGCAGACAAAGTTGTTCTGTGTCATCTTAGGAATTGTATCTTTCACATTGGCTGAAAATTTTTATAATCATTTTGAAGGTTTAAAATATACTTTAACACGACGAGAGGTGCGTACTCCTCTAATGCGCTTAGAAGTACCTCTCTGATATGGAATCAATATATATGACGCCCTCGATTTTGGTGTGACTTTATAATTATTGTTCGTACTTGGTATTTTGTTCCCGTAGGAAAGAACACATATTCTACATCATATACAATTTGACTGCCCTACATCTTTCATTCACAAATGGCAGAAAAAAATATGAACTTGTAATGACTAATCACAATTATCATTTTGACTATCTGAGATAGCAGTGGTTTAGCAGAGTATTACTGACACTTAGTGATGATTGATCACGAAATGAAAATTTGGACTGTGGCCGGATTCGAACCAGCGACCACCAAGTTTCCGGCTGGATGCTGTACCACCTGAGCTACGAGAACCATCTGCTGACCAGATTTTTATTTTACTTCAATCATCAGGGGTTCTTCCCAACTGCGTGTGAATAGGTAGTTTAACAATAGGGTTTAGTTGCATTATTAGGCCAGTGCCAAAAACTGAAATTAAGAATGGAAGGCATGTGCGTTATGATAATGGTATTAATAATGAGTGTGTGTGAATATCAAACCACATAACCATTAACCTACGGACACTAAATATTTGATATAATTTTTGACTTTATGCTTTGATGTCAATCAAAAATTGGAGTATTCTGTTGAAGAAGCTCTGATACAGGCGGAAAAGGTAAGGAAAAATCTTGTCTTGATTTTCTAAATGCACTGCGATTATATTTCAAAAAGTACACTCTTTTAATTATGTTTGTATTCAATTTGCATTCCATCAAAGTGAAGCAAATGCATCTATAGTCAATTTATTTTACCTATCTCTATACCAATAGTAATATTTTCATTCCTTCTATTTTTCTTTCATTTGGTTCTATTTGTTGCAAATTTGACCTATTATGTATTTTTGATAACGTAATTAGAAGTCGTACATTTTCTGAAAAATATGATGTATCTGCGCTATGCACTTCGAACACTCTGATCACACATTTACTTGTTAAAGCATCAGATATGAATACTGGAAGTGGGGAAAGATAAATATGAAATAAAGGGATTCAATAGTAAGAAAGGAGTGATAAGGTTTGAAGATAACCATGGTAACACGATAAAATAAGCATTACCAGGATAGGCTTAGCGTAATGACAAACGGTTTTTGCACACACAACGGGAGGTTAAATATGATTACGGCTATACGCCTCTGACAGTTTCTATACAAAATTGTAACAGTTGTTTTAATGTCAATCCTGTGACCTTTATCAATGCTATGTTTTGCTATAGATGATGACGGTTTTCTATCACCTGTGTTTATTGATTTTTGTGAATACAGCTGCTTTAGTAGCCATTTTGATACATATTCCCCTACTCTCAAGTGCATATGTCGGTTAGTCCTCCTAATGTATGTGACCACACATACATGTAAATTTTTAAGCATGACGCAATCGGTAATGTGGCATTGAGGTCTATGTTGCAGCAGGTGCTTGTTCATCTCAACTACGATAATCTTAGCTCCATAGCATATTTCGCTAACAGCAGACCTTAACCTTCGTTTTAATATTTTACTATTAGATTGTCCTCTGTATGGTAACGTGATATAAACGCATGTCTTAGAAACATAGTACAGACTAGGTTTTAAGGGTGGCTGATTCTTGCAGTGGTTTATGAACTTCAACGTATATTCATTTTCCACTAGTATTTCAGTTAGTATTTGATGTTGCCATCCATTAAGTCTTCCGTACAACTACGCTGAATCCTTTCGAATAGGAAAGTTGCCAAACCTCGCTTGCAATGGGTTGGACAAAAGCTATGGAAACTTAAGTAGTGACCTGTCCAAGTTGGTTTCCTGTAAATTGACCGTATTATTTAACCATCATGACTCATGAGTATACCCGAGAACAACAGGTGGTTGTCTTTCTCTTTTTCACATTTTAAGCATTTATTGTTTTGTAGGCTGCTAAGTCCTTCTAAAAAACATATAGCATAATGAGAATATTTGTACCTCAGGTGGATGGTCTTGGTTGTATTGTGTTCTCTGAGCTGGGTTGTTTAATCACTTAAACAACCCAGCTCAGAGAACACAATACAACCAAAAACATATCGCATCTTCATGCTTGTCACATATCACAATTATAGCATCAACATATCTCTTATAGAAAGTAACTTTACTGATGAGATCATCAGTTAAGCCTTCAGTATATAACTTGTAAATATCAGCTAATAATGGTCCTAGGGAACTTCCTATGGCCATAACATCTGCTTGTTGAAAATGCTCTACTTAAAGTGTGAAATAAACTTCATCAGTACATAATAGTAGCAGCCCTTTCAAGCACAACAAATTCATAAAGGGACTAACTGTTTCAAATTCTTGATATATATTCATTCAACTTTGTGTTCACCTATAAACCTCAGATATTGTGGAAAAAGGTGCATCCCTATCACTACACGACATTTGAACTACTCAATCTTATAAAGTCATTTAATTACACAGTTTTCATGATTTTAATTTAATGTTGTCTAGCAAATTATCAATTACAACTGTCGTGCCTTAGTAGCATCTGTTCCAATATTTGCTAATGCTGATCAGAATTTTGTATCAGAAGTCATTGTAAAATTGAAACAAGAAGTATTTCAACCCGGTGATTTGATTATTAAAGAAGGTACTTATGGTACAAAAATGTATTTCATACAAGAAGGAGTTGTGAATATCATTACTAAGGACGGTGTTCTAGCTACAAGATTATCGGATGGCTGCTATTTTGGAGGTGAGATTTATTGTCCATTTTTCCTGTTTGTTGAATATATTATTGAAATAATTTTTTTGAAATACTTTTTTTCGTTAATATCTACAGTTCGATAAAAATCAACTTCAGGTACTGAGATACTGTGAGCCTCAATTATCATGTTACCGCTGATAGAAGTGCTTTGATGTCCAAGCCCTGATAAGACAAGGTGCTAATTACGCTAGATGAAAGTTAAATGCAAAAATCAACGCACAACAAACCCATCAATTAGTTGGTAATTATTTTAGTAATAAAATTGCAGTGTATAAGTATCGAGCCGTGACAAGGTGGTCTAAACAATCAATTTTCTGCCAAGTTGGTTACAGGTTTGAATGTCATTTGACCTAACATGGTAGTAATATTAGCCCTAAAATGATCAGCATGCTTATCACTTGATCCACAGACATGTATAAGATTGCCGAATTGAATGATAATTATGAAATTTGTATTCACCAACCTCTGCACAGTTTAACATTATTATTTGAAAAACAAAAATATGTGTTCATGAGACAGTAGAGACGATTTGCAGATAAGGATGACAATGATGATGACGATGATAATCGTTTGGTGTTCTCCAAACTTTGAGATTTGTTCTTAGAAGTTTCATCACCATGCTAGACAACTTCGTCAGCACTTACTTCATTCAGACTTTGTTTAATCTAGTAATGAAACGTCCAAGAAGAAATCTCAAAGTTCGAAGAACACCAAACGGTTATCCCTGTTCACTTTTATGCTTTCTTAGCATTGTCATTAGGACAAATTTTATTGTATAAAAATATGATTCCTTGCCTTACAGAGGTAGCACATCAGCATAAACACATACTAAATTCTCTTGCCTTAATGAAAATAGTTGGCTCAGTGAGGAGACTCTTTTTGGGGTTTCATTCACTTAGCTCCACAATTGTGCTGATATATAATGTTTTTGTTGACAATATACAGTTCGTTTCATCAGTGAAAGCACTTAGTTAGGGATAGTTGCAAACAAGGTGATATACACAAAAAAGTCAAAATATCTTCCCGAAATAATCAAACATTTTATGAATGTTGAAAAGTAACCAAAATGTACAGTAACAAGCGCAGTTGAAATCTCCTGACCTACAATGAAGCATTAGATTAGTGAATATTCCTCAAGATGTTATAGAAATCACGTGAAGATGATAAAGTTTGAATAATAACTTGGGTAGCATGGTAAAATACTTCATGAATGAATCGTTATCAAAGTGAGCATGGAAAAGAGGAATTGTTGATGTACGAAGGAAATGGGATGAAGTAGCTAACAATAGTGAACGCTCTGATATGCTAGAGATTAAGACCATGAAATGAGCAACGGTCGGACAAGTTTCTTTTGTATGCAAACCTTTGGCTGTTCCATTTGATTTGTTAACGCTTCAGTAATACAAAGGAGGTGAAGACTCTCTTACTTTGAACAGTTTCTTTTCACTTAGCAAATAACTCTGAAACAGGAGATGGTTGTTGAGACTGAATGATCAGTGTCTACAAGGCGTTCTATTGTCTCACTTCTTACATGTCTACCGTTACCTCTTAACAGACCCGCAGGATAGCGTTCTTGAATCGTTTTGTACAGGACCCGCATCGAATAACCAATATACCTAGCTACACAGGAGCAGGTGAACTGATATACGCACTCAGAAGAGGCCAGATACAAGATCTTTCCTTACTGTGCTTTCTAATCACTTTTCAATATACATGAACACTTTTCCACCTTAAGATAATATTCATCACGGACTGATATCAGTTGAAAGACCATTGAAAACCTGGGAGTACTGAACAGCTGTTTTATCCTAGCATATGACTCCCCAGCGGTTGTATAGAAACCAGGAGTTTCGCGGTTGAGTGACGAGCAAGTTACCGGTTGGTCACTCAGTCAGGATCCAGTGGTCCATATTTTCAAACATCTGTCATCCAGTGCTTACATTTTTTGAATGGTTCCTCAATTAATAGCAGTTAGTGATGAATACCAAGTTTAAATCAATAAACCCCCATAAACCTCCAAATCGGTTACGAAATTCACCGTCACTGGATGAGAAACTAAGTGTATTTACATCAGACTGTAGCCCGTTAGAGTGATAATCCTAAAAGCAAGTTTCTACAATGCAGCAGTTCTTGCATGTCTCTAAAGAAGCATTGCTCTCTCTGCCTTTTCTTTTCCGTTCTGTAGCATCTAATAGCGCACCATTCTCATATAGCAGTCTTTTGTCTTTTTATTTCTTTCTCATGTGTCCCAGCGTAAAATGCTGTAAGCCGAACAGGTTAACACCAGATCCTAAATTGATAATTTCAGTCTACCTGTTATCCACGACACTTTAATCTTCATCATTATCTATTGCCTTTTTATCTTCCACTACACAAATTAGCTTCTAAAGACAAAGAATTTCGATATTGCCAAAACAAATGTTGTTTCTTTCAATGAATTTTGAAGCTAGAAATTACTTTGGTAATATATGCTTAAAGTAGCTTTAAAGATGGTTATTTTAGTAGAAAACACGGAGTAGAGTAAGAAAATGCACCACTTTAGTCGGTCGTTGTTTAGTCACTAGCTCAGTCATCAGCAAAAGACCAAACACAAAAAGCGAAAATTAGAAATAATCGCTTACAAAACACTATATAACCCTTCATAATTTAATGTACTCTTTCGTAACATTTGTGTGTGAACTTTTCCCGAGTTGATATCTGTAGCTAAACGTACACCTGTGTTTTAAGTTCATTGCCTTGATGAGCTGTTCTGGATGACGTTGATTCTGAAACTTACGAGAAGAATTCAAAATGCACTCGTGCAGTAGGCTTTGAGCCAGACTGTGTGACCGCTGGCTACTCAAACCTTAGTAGGTGGGGCAGGGTTTGAACTAGTGACCCCTTGAAAGTCAACTTCCTAAACCAATGAGCCACATCTCAACTTATGATACTCTAAGCGAGTTTAAAAGCATGCCATGAGTTAAAGCTAGTTCGTAAGTTTCTCTCAATAACATACACTGTAAACACAATAAATCACCACGTCAGATTCATCCTCGTCATCCATCAACACAGGACCAGGCATCACTGTGGAACATTTCGGGTTGCCACAGCTCATACAAGTAAATCAAGTAAAAAGGCAGTTAGGTGGAAGCTGAAGGAAAGAAAATTCGTGAGCCAACAGAAGTCGGAAATATAGAGCACTGGATTCTGACCCAGTAGCTCAACAGTAACACGCTGGTCGCGGAGCCTGAAGGTCGCGGGTTCGATCCCTGTCGGGGCCGTAGGTGCGCACTGCTGAAGAGTCCCATACTAGGACGAAACAGCTGTCCAGTGCTCCCAGGTTTCCTTTGTTCCTCCAGCTGATGCCAGTCTACGATGAATAACAACTTGAAAGAAAATTCGCTCAGAAGAAATACAAAGTACTAAAAGAGAGAAAAGAAAAGTTAGAAAATGGTGAGATTCGGTATGGCGTTGAAATGAGGATAGTGTTTGTGGATACATCTGCGCTAGTGACATTGGATCTCAGCCCTATCACCTAGAGTCTCCAACCACTGGGTCTTCTTGTCCCGTGGACCTCAACCAGATAGTCTGCATCGCCCCACATAGCTCAAACTAATAGTCAAAGACTTCATATATCGATGACTCAAGCCTTTTTCCAACCTGAACCTTTTTCGGCCAACATTGTGTGACGAGACAATCGGCGACCAGGCATATGTAACACATGTCACAGCCAGCCATCTCAGTCAATGAAGGCTCACACACTCGTCAACCAACTTACCTCTTCTCCCTAAAACTCTACACCTGACTTCTGTGTTAATCACGTGGTGACACCATGGAATACGGCTTATACTACGAAGACAAGGGTGGTCAAACACCTGTAGTCTTCTCATGTCTTCAGCCTTCAGTGGCCATGTTTCACAGCCATACAGTAGAACAGAGCGGACTGCTGTGCAGTACACGCCACCTTTAATAGACAATCGGATATCATGGCGGTGCAACAGGTGACGAAAATTGGTGAGAGCCGACCGATCCTTTTGTATTCGTGCAGAGATTTGATCGGCCACTGAGCTAGCCACCAGGGATGTTCCTACTTCCCAGGTAAGTGAAGTGTTCAAAACACACTTAACCACTTCACTCTCTGTTGTCACTCTGAGTATCGTCGAATACCAGACCTGGAGAAACAAGCTGCATTTGGGTGGTGAGATATATATCCCAAACATTCTCAAATTGCCACTCAGTGTGGCCGGAAAACTTCGCATCTTGTCAGAGTCTTCACTTAACGGGACTATGTCATCTGCGTATTCTAGGTCTGACAAAAATTCCCCCGCGATTAGGTCAAACTCTCTGTAGTCACGTGACGAGAGCATAAGAATATCTAAGATGAAACTGAAAAAGAATGGAAACAGTGGGCAGCCATGACGAACACTGCTGGACGAGTGCAGATCTCCGGACATCTGACCATAGGCTCTAACACGCATACATGTGTTCGTACAAAGGGTCTTCGATAAGGTGACATACTTCTTGTCACGTCAGATTACTTCGCGTACCATTTGAAACATACAGTTAAATTGGTAGTTATTATTCAAAATCTAGGAGGAACCAAGTGAAACGTGACGAAATTCTTTGAAAACTCAACCATGATGTTCGTTCATGAAACAACCAATCACAGTATACCTATATTATTATGATTATTAGTCCCTTGGGTTCCTAATGGAACATAGGGCTTCAGTAGCACGTCTCCAGTGAACTCTGTTCGCCGAAATCTTTTGAACCTGGCCCCACAACGGCCCACAACCTCTCATTTCCTCCTCGCACGATCTCCTCCATGTCACCCTCACCTCGGACGCCCAACTCGTCGCTTCCCATGGGGATTCCACTCGAGTGACTGGCCTGATGCGTGATATCCTCAGTCGGCTTTCTCAGTGTATGCCCAATCCATCTCCACTTCCTCACAGTGCATATTCATGTACTGTGATAGGCGATAGGTTCTTGGTTGGTTCGTTCCCTGA